TAGTACCATATATACATCTTGATAGTTTTCTCATTTCTTTTCTGGAAAAACATCCCTTTCTCCCTTTATGTAGGCGGCTGGTCACCAAGTCAGGAAAGCAGAAACCAATAGAAAGAGAGCATTGCAGTCCGAGATTCAGGATGCAGATGGGAATGCTAAATGCCACCAACATCAGACAAACGGAAAAAATTATTTAGAGATGGTGATGACTGTAGATGCAAACAACTTTACATCAATTCATCATTGGAAAAAATTTTGGGCGGTAGCTTCCTGGGTCATGCCACGGTATACAGTCCAGCAATTGGCTTCTATGTTACTATCAATCTTGTTAAGGTAAACTGCTCTGGCCGACATAATCTCATGTAGAGTTTTTTTTTTTAAGACGGCTATAGACTATGGTATCTTTAACCTAGTTCTTATGTAATTAGAAACTATTATCTCTTTGAGTTATTTTAAAAATGCACTTTTAAAAAGAACGCTTGCCAACGTATAATGATTCAATAATTTAATGTAAATTTTTTTTATCATGGTAAAAGTTTAATTCTTTTCCTCTCGAACCACTTGTTCTAATAAAAAAAATTCACTTTTAATTGATATTAATTTAATATAATTAAAAAATTCATTTTTATAAGTGCTATGCTCTAATCTTGAACCTGATCCTGTATTGCAATCCCTTGGCGTTACAATCTCTTGTTCCTTATTTTTATATAGTTGTTGTACTTTGATATAATGGTTCGTTTATCATGTACAATTGTAATATACTTATTGAGTAATGCGTGCACATTAAATAAGATATTGAAACATAGGCATCAATTTTTCCCTCCTGTAACGTTTTACGTTTTTTTTTTTAACATCGAAAATTATGGGAGATGGCGGTATTTTTTAAATTGTTTATGGTAACCAAACTCTTAATTAATTAAATTTAAATATTAAAATTTTAAAATAAGTAATTAGATCTAAAGGTCTAATTCGTTTTACGTTTCTTAATTGATGACGAACATTTGCCTAAAATAGTACCACATATCCAATGAACTGTACCTTTTCTTCTCCATACAAAGTTACAAACTCTGAAAAAATGATTTTTTTTTTATTCGTTTAAAGGCAAAAGAAAGTTAGGCGAGTGGAGAAAGAAAAACAGACATAATGAAAGGTGTTGAAAACATAATAAAACCGAGTAAAGGCGGTGTTGAAACAGTGAACACACGCGCAAAGGTAAAAAGACAGGCGCCTAATAAATAGTGGTGTGGAAAAACCGGAGGCCCAATCCCCACATTATTCCATTATTCTTCACCAAAAAGATTTCCTCCGATTCTTCTCCATTGCCAT